ACCCCCCGGAAGCCGGCGGCCGCGCTGCCCGCTGCGTGGACACCGTGAGTACCGACCCCGGACCCGACCCCGGACCCCGGAGCCGAGCCCGGACCCTGGACTATGACCCCGGCGCCTGAGCCCCGTTCCCGCAGCCCGGGGCGGCGCCCTGCTCTGAGCCCACCCGCTTCCTGCGGGAACAAAGGCGGGCGCGGCCGGCAGGCGCTCGGGGGTCTACGGGGTGGACGCAGGCCGCCCTCACCTCCCTCCCTCCCGGTCCTCGGGGGCACTGTCCCCAGGCTGGGTCGGCAGCCGCAGGGGTGTGACCGCGCCTTTGTTCCCGCGCCTCTGCCGGGGCTGCCTGGTTTGGCGTGGGGATCGGGAGTGGCTCTGGCCCGGGGCTCCGAGGCAGCCGGGGTCCTTCGTGGCCCTGGGAGGCAGTGACAGCTCTGTCGCACGTTTGTCAGAGGGTGCTGGCTTGTTCAGAGCAGAGGGGCTTTCTTCGTGTGGGGAATTTTTTTTTTTTTTTTTTGAGGGGAGGGAGTGATAGCAACAAGAGTCTCAGTCCAGACTGGGCCTCCTGGACTGACTGTAGGGGCCGCCACTACTGGGCTCAACAGAACACTGGCCACACGCCTGCTCCCGCCCATCTCCACTGGGGTCCCAGAAGGGACCTGGCCCAGGATGGGGTGGGGGCAGGGGCACGGGTAGTCACAGACAACAAGGTAGGGCCGTGCTGTTCAGAGGCACCTGGGGTGGGGAGGTCCCGAATGTGCCTGGGCACTTGGGGATGCCTCTCGGAAGAGGAGACTCTTAATCTGGGTCTTGAAGGATGAGTAGGAGTTTGCCAGATGGGAAAGGGTGGAGTTCATTCCGGGCAGAGGCTGAGGCCGGAAGTGTGAGACGGCCTCTCAGGTTTCAGGGAGAGTGGCTGGAGCTTGGTAAGAACTGGAGAAAGGAGTGGGGCCTGATGCCAGAGCCTGGAATGCTGGGCGGTCAGCGTCGAGGTGGTCAGCCCATTCTGGGGCAAAGGTGACCGTGCCCCTGTGATCCCCTCTGGGCTTGGCTGGGGAAGGTGAGTGACGCTCGAGGCTGATGGGCACACAGATCATCCTGGCCACTGCTGACATGGTGTGCTGCCTGCCAAGCGCCACTGCCTCTGTCCCCCCCCCCGCTCCTTGAAGGCAGGTATTCCCATTCTACAGCCCTGGAGACTGAGGATCCCAGAATGAGAACCTAGACCATTCAAACCGGAAGCTGGAAGCCCTTGGCTACCCACTTCCCTCGCTTCCTGGTCTCAGGACCTCAACAACAGGCTGGTGGCAGCCAGCTGAGGGCAGGTGGGGTGGATGGTGAAGTGCTCCTCACTCATGCCCTGCTGAGACTCAGAGCTGGTGGCAAGGGTGCTGGGAGCCTGTCCCAGCCCCTGCACCTCTTTGACTCCCTCCCAAGGTCCCTGGGTGGCACAGACGATTTGCTGTCAGCTTTGTTCTTGGCTACCAGCCAAAAGGTTGGTGGTTCAAACCCTCTCAGCAGCGCTGTGGCAGAAAGGCCTGGTGATCTGCTTCCGTAAAGACGACAGCCAAGAAAACCCCAGTTCTTGGTAACACATGGGGTTGCCATGAGTTCGAATTATTAGACGGCATTGGGTTTGGGTTTTTGGTTTCAGGTTGCAGCACCCGTGCCACCTCCTCCAGGAAGCCCTCCCTGACTTCCTGGTCAAGGCAGACCCCCTTATAGGCTCAACTGACGCTCAGACTCTGGGTGGTTAAGGGGCTCAGGCCTGACCGACCTTGGCCAGGGCCTTCCTGAGGGGCCTTGTGTGCAGCAAGTGTGCAGTAGGTGTGTGCTAAGTGAACAGTGAAGGGACACACCTAGCTCCCAAGATCCCTGGGGGTTGGGTGTGTGGCCCCATGGGGCTGATGGAGGGATGGAGTGGCCCTGCCTCCCCGCCCCGTCCCATCCTGAGCCTGGCGTTTCTTCACCCCTCACTGCCTGGCCCTCTGTGCTGTCTACAGGATCTTGGCGGTGCCCTCCTGCGTGCCCCAGGCTGCGCTGTCCTGTCCCCATCCCTGGCTGAGCTGTCCCCTTCCCCTGTGTTGCAGCTTCATGGCGGCAGAGGAGACTTACTGGCCCGTGCCCATGAAGGCCATCGGTGCCCAGAACCTGCTAACCATGCCCGGGGGTGTGGCCAAGGCTGGCTACCTGCACAAGAAGGGGGGCACCCAGCTGCAGCTGCTCAGATGTGAGTTCCTGGGTGGGGCTAGGGAAGCACTGTCTGGAATTCTGGACAGAGCCTGGTGGGGGGAGAGGGAGCGTGGGGGCAGAGCCAGGCCCTGCTGGGCCTCCTTGGACACGTGACCACCCTCTCTGAGCCTCAGCTTTCTTACCCGGTGTGAGGTGGGCCCTCCCTCCGGAGTTTCCCACCCCTCTCTGGTGACCGGCACCTCCTGGGGGACCTGGGGTTGGCCTCCCCATCCCCTAGGACTATTGAGAGAGCCCTGGGGGTGTATCTTGGTAAATAGGTGGGACAGGCCAGTGCTGACCTGCTGGCCAGAGCTGGGGACCTCAGGGTCGCCCGGCAGCTCTGGTTCCCTGGGAGTGGCCCTTGCCTTACCCAGTTCAATGACTGGGTCTGTCAGTCGGTCCGTAGTGAAGCCATGTAGCAAGCCGAGCCCCTGGCTGAGCACTGGACCCCCAGAGCTGCACGGGACCCCTGCTCAGGCCCCCGGGACAGCAGACTTGGGGGAGGGAGTCTTCAGGGTCGGGAGGTGCCCAGCTGCCAGAGCCAAAGGCCAAAGAGCCCCAGGGCCTGGCCTGTCCCTCCAACCGGCCACAGGTACCGCCAGCCTGTGCCCAGAGCTGCCCCCTTCCTCCGTAGCCCTGAGCTGCCTGGCTGAGCTGCCCCAGGCTGGGCTGTTTGGTCCCAGTGTGGCACCGGGTAGCTGGGCTCCCCTTTGGACCAGGAGCCTCCAAGGAGGCCGGAAACTGACCAGTCCCGGGCCACAGAGTGTGGGCTTCTTGGCACAGCTGTCCAGCCTGGGGGTTGGCTCGTACGGTGGCTGGCTGGCCCGCTTTCTGGGCCCTGGCACTGCCGCTTGCTCCCACTGTTGCTCTGCTGGCCTGGGGGAGAGGCAGCCACCTGGCAGCCCTGTAGCCAGCCCCCCAGCCAGGCTTCCCTCTGCCATGGGCCCCTCCGGCCCTGGCTCTGCCACCCTCAAGCTAGCCTCCCAGCCCTTGTCCCCGGGGCCATGGTGGCACCACCCAGCCCGAGTCAACCTCTTCCCTGTGAATGGCTGTGAAGATGTCTGCATTGGGCCCACAGTGGACTCCTGGGGAGAGCGCCATGTGGCCCAGCTCCCTGCCCTTCCACCCATGGGCTCAGAGGCGGGGGCTGGCGCTCAGCCCTGCTCTGCCTGCCGTCCGCAGGGCCCCTGCGCTTTGTCATCATCCACAAGCGGTGCATCTACTACTTCAAGAGCAGCACGTCTGCCTCCCCGCAGGGCGCCTTCTCACTGAGCGGCTATAACCGGTGAGTGCCCGCCCTGCCCGCCGCCCCATGGGTTCCCACCCAGAAGAGTCCAGACCTCTGGAGATGGCCTCTGTCCTCATCCCCTGCGGGCCGTGTCCCACCACTGCTGCTTCCTTCACTGTCTCCATACCCTGCCCCTACCCCTTCCTCCTATTGCGCCCCCGGACTCCACTCTTGAGGCCCCTTGTCCGCAGCCTCTGCTGAGATCAGGCCGAGCTGGGGGCTGCCTGTGGCCTCAGGGACAGGCCCAAGGGCTGGGGCAGCCTGCTTTCCAGAGTCCCCACCGCCCAGTGGCTCTGCTTCCTGTCCCTCCCCTCCCTGTCTCTCACCCACGACAGCCTCCTTCGAAGGAGCCAGGAGCCCAGCCTGCCCTTGGCCCTGACCCTGGCACTCTGGGGCCTCCTGCCTGCTGTGGGCTGGACCCCATCCCTGATCTGCTCTCCCAGGCTATCAGGGGCCTGGCACTTTGCATGAGGTGGGACGGTGCATGTGGGCCCAGTAGCTCCAAGCGGGGTCCACCCCATGGCTTTCGGGTTCCACGGGGCACAGTCTAAGTGGTGGCTCCCTGGGTGCTGTGGTCTTGGGTGTTGTCCCTCCCGGGCCCTGCAACCTGCAGCATGAGTCTGGACCCTCCCCACCTGCTGTGAGGGACTAGCCCCTCCCACCTATGAGAAGCAGGCGCCAGTGAGCCCAGGGTCACAAGGTGTTAGGGCGGGACTGGGATCCTTGGGGTGAGACTCCAGGGCCTTGGGTCGTACCTCGTCACATCCCTGGCGGAGCAGCCCAGGCCACCAGCCCAGGCAGGAGCAGGCTCCGGGGCCCCTCTGGGTGTCTGGACGGGCACAGGGAGGTCTGGCCCTGAGGCCACTGGTGAGGATCATTACTTTCCCCAAACACACTGCCCTCCGGCCTCCAGCAGGTGCCGGCCGCACCGCGAACACTGGGCCCCACAGCGTTGTCCAGCCTGGCGGGGCCAGCTGGGCCTGAGGGGCTCTTCCAGGCCCCCAATGGGCCAGAACGGCCTCCCCTGCCCGGGTGCCTGGAGGGCCACCCCTATGGCAGCCGATCTCATTTCTCTGAAAACCCCACATCCGGGCGGGGAGCAGCCTGCAGAGCAGACATGAGTCACTGGGCTTCCCTGAAACGCGCCTGGGGTGCTGCCGGGCAGTGGGGGCTGGGCGGAGGTCACCACGAAGCCTCACGCAGCCCTGACAGCAGCCAGGGCCCAGCCGAGGCCGGCGGTGCAAGGGCACGTCCCCACGAAGACGGTCAGCACCGGCGTTGGTGGGCAGTGGAGGGCCCTGCATGCAGCTGCTCACACACAGCCTTCCGAGGCCTCAGGGCCCCTCTGTGTGCCCACTGCTCCTGCCCATGTGAGTCCCGCAGCTGGAAGGCTTTAGGCCCCAGCCCGGAGCAGATCTGCCCATGTGTTTTGGGCCTGGTGTGGGTGCAGTCCCCGTCCGGGGGCTGGGAGCTGTCCCTGCAGTGGAGACGGTGGGCCCTGTGGTCAGGCTGTGTGGACCAGGTGGTGACTGCTGGTGCTGTGCCCACAGGGTGATGCGGGCAGTTGAGGAGACCACGTCCAACAACGTCTTCCCCTTTAAGATCATCCACATCAGCAAGAAGCACCGCACCTGGTTCTTCTCAGCCTCCTCTGAGGATGAACGCAAGGTGCTCGGGGCTGCGGGGGGCTGGTCCCAGGGCCCAGGCAGGGAGCAGAGGTGCCTGGGGGCTGATAGAGGCCCTTTGCCAGGCCTGAGGGGCCCGGCCCAGCCCAGGTCATATAGCCTGGGTGGTCACTGCAGGCCAGCCTCAGCAGTCAGGGGAGTGGGAGGTGAAGCATGGGGACTGCCCGGGGCACCATGCCCACTGTGGCCCTGGTGACCCACAGAGCTGGATGGCCCTGCTGCGCAGGGAGATCGGCTACTTCCACGAGAAGAAGGAGCTGCCCCTGGACACCAGGTGGGCCTCGGGCAGGGCAGGCGGTGGTGGGGTTGGGCCTCTCAGGCCTATCTCTGGGGCACCTGGGATGGGACATGTGAGTCGCCTCCCAGCCCCGGGGGCTTGGCCCAGAATCCCCTGAGTAAGGGTCTTCCTGGAGGTGGCAGCCAGCCCACGCACACAGCAAAAGTGTGTGCGCAGGCGTGTGCACAAGTGTGTGTAGTTGTGGGCGCAAGTGTGTGTGTGGGTGTGGACACCGGCGTGTGTGTGTGTGCATGTCTGGGTGTCTGTCTGCCTGTGTCCAGATGTCTGCTGTCCTAGTCTCTCTGTATTTATCTGTGTGCCGTGTGTCTGTGTATGTCTGTGTGAATGAGTGTTGTGTGTCCACATCTGTGTATCTGTGTGTGTGTGCGCATGCGTGTCCTCATGCCTCTCTGTGTCTGTGTGTATGTATGTGTCCAGGTATCCGTGCATATGCCTGTGCGTCTGTACGTGTGTGTCTGTGTGTGTGTATTGTGGCCGAGGACCGCCCCTGCCCTGTGCTCACTGCCCGCCCCTGCCTGTTCTCCTGGTGCTCAGTGACTCCAGCTCGGATGCAGACAGCTTCTACGGCGCCGTGGAGCGGCCCGTGGACATCAGCCTCTCTGCATACCCCATGGACAACGAAGGTGAGGGCTGTCCCCACCCCACGATCTCTAGACCCAGCCTTCTCTCAGGCTACCACAGTGCGGGGGTAGTGGGCATATTGGGCTGTCTTCCCTACTGGTCCCTTTGGCAGAGTGACAATGACCTCCGGGGTACCGGATTCAAATCCTGCCGCCTTGTCCTCACCCCCATGCCGCCCTGACTCTTGGCTCCCCGGGGGGAGTATTGTTCTGTGGCTCAGCTGGACCTGCCTGTGTCCCGGGCTCAGTGGGCCCCCCTGCCGCCCTGCCGCCCTGCTGCCCTGTCCTCTCTCTGCAGCCAGGTCTGGGGCCAGGTCTGACCGAGGGCCCGTCTGCTGCCCCGCCACCCCGTCCTCACCGCAGCCGGGCACGGGGCCAGGTCTGACCTCTCTGCTCCCACACAGACTACGAGCATGATGATGAGGACGACTCATATCTGGAGCCCGACTCCCCTGAACCCGGGAAGTTTGAGGGTAGGTGGGCCGGGGCAGATGGGTAGACCAGGGAGAGCCCAGTGGGAGAGAGCCTCCTCCCAGGTGGGGGTGCTGGCCATATGCCGCTCTGGGCTGAGTGACCTCAGGCCAGGCCTGTCTGCCTCCTGGGCCTCAGTTTTCCTGCTGCGGCCCAGGTATTCTGAGGCTTCTGCAGTTAGCCCAGCTGGGATGGCGAGCAGGGTGCCGAGGGTGCCGAGAGGGTGCAGGTGGGCCCATATTGCATGCCTGGGCTGGGGCAGCCTGGGGCTGAGGCAGGGGAAGGAGGAACACTGAGGAGTCAGGCATCCACACCCACTTCCCTCTCGTTGACAGTTCGCTGTGGAGCCCTAATTGGGGGTCAGCCTGTCACATAGGGTCCTGGCCCCCGTCCCCACCCCTGAAGCTCACAGCCCAGCAATGGAGATGGGCCACCTGGCAGTCATGGGTTGGGACTGGGCAGCACAGGGCCCGGGCCGTCCTGTACCTCAGTCCTGCCATCCATCTGTTCTCTGTCCTGCCCCTTGGGTTACAGGCCTCCACCCTCCCCGGGCCCCACAGCCCCGTCCTCTCTCCAGCCCCCCTTCTTCATGATCACCCTCCCCGAGCCCCACAGCCCTGTCCTCTCTCCAGCCCCCCTTGCTTCGTGCTGATCTCATGATGTCTTGGCTGCGCCTTCCATCCCCGCCTCTGCCTTCCTTCTCTTCCAATGCCTCCCCCTCCCCGCTCTCCACCGGCCCCACCCCTCTTCCTGGCTCCTTCTGGACCTCAGCACCCACAATCCTCTGCCCTGGACCTTCTCTCTCTGCCCTCAGCCCAGCCTCAGGTCCCCCTTTCCCCACACGGAGCCCATGTCACCACTCATCGCCCCCTTGCCGCACACGGCCCCACGTCCTTCTGTCTCAGCCTGTTAGCTAGGCCCCCAGCCCTGGGGGGATCTGACTGTCCACCTGCTCTGCCCCGGGGCCCATGCAGATGGGCGTGCCGATGGCGCCTTCAGCTCATGGCTGTGACCTCCAGTGCCCTGACGTTGCCTGCAGACCCGACTGGCCTAGGCTCTCCCCCTCCCTCCAGCCCACCACTCCAGGAAGACTTTCTCCCTGCTTTCCCCAAACCTCTCTTGTCACAGTCCCCAGTGACCCCCCCCGAGGCCCCCTCCGATGCTCAGCTCCCCGTGAGTGGCACCTGGCCTGGGCATCCTCCCACCATATGCTTGGCACTCTCTGCTCCAGGCCACCCCGTGCTCATGGGGTCCCCCTCCTGCCTCACTGTGCGGGCCCCTCCTCATTGCCGGATTCCTCGCTCCCTCCTCTCCAGTCCCTGGTGACACAGTGTCTCCCCTATGCTGTGCATTTCAGTGGCCAGAACCGCACCCCTGAGCTCCAGGCTTGTGCCCTGACAGTCCACTTGACTTTCTCCCCACCCCCGGGAGGTCTTACAGCATCTGGAACTCACCAAGCACACAAACTCCTCACCTCCCTCCCCAGCTGCGCTGCCCCCTTCTGCTGGCTTTGGACACCCCTTCTTTCCCTCGCTCGGGCCAAACCCTCAGATCCTCCTGGCCTCTTCTGTTCTCAGCTCCACCCCTGGAGTCCCCAGTGGCCCCTGCTTGGGGACTTGGCTGCTGTGTGGAGGATGGACGTGGGCAGGGCCCAGGGGGAAGGCTGGAGCAGGCCACTTGCCGGGTGGCCTTGCAGAGGGCGTGTGGGCCCAGCCTCCTGGCACATGGCCCTGCTCACTGGTGTGGGTCTCCTTGATCTGCAGATGCCCTGATCCACCCGCCCGCCTACCCGCCGCCCCCCGTGCCCACGCCCAAGAAGCCGGTCTTCTCCGAGGTGTCCCGCGCCCACTCCTTCACCTCCAAGGGCCTGGGACCGCTGCTGCCTCCCCCACCCCCTAAGCGTGGCCTCCCAGATGCAGGCCTGACCCCTGAGGACGCCAAGAGGGACCCGCTGGTGAGGCAGGTTGGGCCCGGCCTCAAGGTGCCCGCCGCCTCCCGAAGGTTGAGCGACCCCCCGCCGGGTAGCCTGCCCACTGTACCCAGCCTCCGGCAGCCCCCTTGCTTCCGGGAGAGCCCCTGCCCCAGTCCGAAGCCCCGGATCCCCGCCCATGGGACCAGCGCCATCTCTGCTGCCACAGCCGCCACTGCCACCAGGAACTGTGACAAGCTCAAGTTCTTCCACCTGTCCTCCCGGGGGCCACCCCCACCCGAACCCCCGCCCGTGCCGGCCAGCAAGCCCAAGTTTCTGAGGATGGCTGAGGTGGCCACCCCGAGGGAAGTGGCCAAGCCTGGACTCTTTGTACCCCCCGTGGCCCCCAAACCTCCTGCCCTGAAGCTGCCGGCGCCCGAGGCCCCAGCCCAGCCTGAGATTTTGCCCAGGCCAGAGAAGCTGCCATTGCCCCACCTCCAGTAAGTCTGCACCACGCTGGTGCCCCCCACCTCTCCTCACCACTGGGACCCTTGCGTGACCTGGCCCTCTCCACACTCACAGCCCGTTACTGGGCGGGCGCTGGGCAGCTGTGGCCCAAGGTAGAAGGCCAGGTTCCTTGACTACTCTGCTCTGCCGGACCCGGGGGTGCAAGGGGCCTCGGATCCAGACCTGGGGTGTGTGGGGCCTCTGATTTAGACCTGGGGGTACAGGGGGTCCCTGATCCAGACCCAAGATGCAGAGGGGGCCCTGATCCAGACCAAGGGGTGCAGGGAGCCCCTGATCCAAACCCAGGCGTGTGAGGGGGCTTCTGATCCAGACCTGGGGATGCAGGGGGCCTCTGATCCAACCTGGGGATGCGGGGACCCTCTGACCCAACCTGGCCCCTGAATAACTGCCAGTCTAGTAGGGGGCTGGCCTGACACTAGTGGCTGTCCTGGAAGGCAGTGGTCAGTGTGGCCTCTGGTAGAAGGCCAGGTTCCTTGACTGCTCTGCCCTGCCTAGGTCCAGCGGCCCCCCTGTGCCAGACCCGGGGTGCAAGGGGCCTCGGATCCAGACCCGGGGGTGTGGGGGGTCTCTGATCCAGAGCTAGAGCGTGGGGGGCCTCAGATCCAACCTGGGCGCTGAGTAACGGCCAGTCCAGTGGGGGGATGGGCCGGGCCTGGAGCTGGTGGCCAGCTGGGAGGCAGTGGTCAGTGTGGCCTCGGAGACACAGACCTCCTGGACCCCTGCCGTGCCATCTGAGGACCCTGTGGGGTCAGGGGAGGTCCCTGCAGGGCTGACCGCCTGTCCTGGGCCCAGTGACTGGGGACGGGAGCCACCCCGCGCTGGTTTGCCTCCACTGTCCTCCTGGCCCAGACCCAGCGCCGGGCCTTTCCCGCCCTGCCTGCGGCTTGGGATGTATCTCCTCCTGACTCTGGAGAGACCCAGCTGCCTCTGATCCCTTCCTGATGGGGAGATTGCCGGAATGTGGAGAGCCTGTGACTCACCCTGAGTCCTGATGGAAGCACTTTCGGTTTTACTGGATGGGCAGTCCCGGGTCCCGATCAGGCAGCGGAAGGCATGTCCCAGAGTCCAGTGTGTCCCGCTCCCTCAGGTCCACCCACCCCCAGGGCTCGTGGTCAAAGGTGTCTAGAACCCATAGGGGGTGGAGCACCCTGCTTGGCGCGGTGAGGGCCCAGGATACCAGGTGTGAGCCTCGCACGGCCATGCTAACCCCATGCCCCCAGTGCCTCTGACCACGGTGCCCTTCCAACCCTGGGGCCTTGCTGGCATCTCCGAGGTCCCTGCTGCCCATTTTGGAGGGTGTCCAGGAGGGTCCTCTGTCATGCTCATGGTTCTGTTTCATGAGGGCCTCGAAGGCCCAGCCCCTGGCAGCTGCTCATGTGCCAAGAGCTGGGTTTGGAGCCTGTGCACTGCAGGGCCGTGCCCTCACCCACTGCCCGCTGCCGTGTCAGCACAGCCACCTGTGGTGTCCCTTAATCCTTCCTGAAGACCGGGAGGTTTGCCCAAGGAGGACCCCTCTGGACACATGAGGGTGTGTCCCTGGGGGTCAGCTTGTGGGTTTGGCCTGTTCCACATCCATTGAGAGGGTCATGCCTGGGCTGAGATCCCAAGGCCTGGCAGAGGCCCTGCCCCACAGCGTCCAGGGTACTCGTCCACATGTGATGCCCCCAGAGCTCAGGCCCCCGGGGCCCCCTGGCCAGCACAGCCCTGCCCCTAACTCAGGCCTCCAGGCCTCAGGCGATTCCTGCTGTCCAGGGTGGTCAGCCAGACTTCCCCGGGAGCTCTGTTGTTGTGGGCTCTTTACCGCCATGGGGCTGCAGCAGCCCGACCCCGTGGACTCCGCTGATGCTGAGTGTGACGCGTCACTTGGAAGGTGCTGGCTTCTGCTGCCGGCAGAAGGGCAGTGTGCAGAGGGGGCAGAGGGTGGCCATCCCGTGTCTGACCATGTTGGGGGTCTCTCCTTCCTTTCCCTACCCCGTCCTAGGCGATCGCCCCCCGATGGACAGAGTTTCAGGAGCTTCTCCTTTGAAAAGCCCTGGCAGCCCTCGCAGGTGGACACCAGCAGGGAGGACTCGGATGAGGGCTATGAGAAGGCAAGGCTGAACGAGAGCACAAATCCCACCTGGCGGGTGCGCAGGCAGGCTGAGAGGGACCCCAGCTAGCCATCCCGAGTTAGGAGCCCCCGGGGACTTGGAGCTGAGGGAGGGATGGAACACCATACAGAGCCCTGGGTCCCCGCACAGGCCGGCAGCTGGTGGGGCTGGGTGTGGGCTGGGTGCTGACCGCCATCGGCCTCTTCCCAGGTGCCGCTCCCCAACTCGGTCTTCATCAACACAACAGAGTCCTTCGAAGTGGAAAGGTCAGCATGAGCTTCTTCTTTTCCTGAGGCCTTGTTTTGGGCACAGACGGGTACCAGGTGTCCACCCCCGCCTCGCGTCTGTCCCCCTCCCTCACGTTGGTGCTGGGCAGTTGCTGGCACAAGTCGCCAGCCCTGAGTGCAGCAAGAATCCCAGCTCCCGGCCCAGAGCTGTGCACAGGCCCACCCAGTCCCCACGACAGCCTGTCCCCTTGGAAGGGCGAGAGGAGAAATTCCTCAACAAGTTAAACAGAGAGTTACCGTGTAACCCAGCAATTCCAGCCCAGGCGTATGCCCAGGAGACCTGGACGCAGGCACTTCAACAGATATGTGTACATGGTGTTCACTGTAGCATTGTTCACAGGTGCCAACAGGTTAAAACAGCCCAAATGTCCATTAGCAGAGGAACCAATACACAAAATGTGGCACATATATACTTTATTCTTGTTGCTGGGTGCCGTCGAGTCCATTTTAGATTCCTAGTGACCCCATGTGACAGAGTAGAACTACCCCATAGGGTTTTCTAGGCTGTAATCTCTACGGGAGCAGATCACCAGGTCTTTTCTCCCGTGGAGCTGCGAGTGGGTTAGCCGCCGAGTGCTTACCCGTTGCGCCACCAGGGCTCCTCATGTACATATAATGGAATATTACTCAGCCATAAAGAGGAATGAACTCCTGATACATCCTACGGCATGCATGAACCTTGCGAACATCATGCTGAGGGAGATAAATCAGACAACAGGACACATTGTCCGATTGTCCAGAATAGGCAAGTGCATAGAGACAAAAGTAGATTAGAGGTTACCAGGAGCCAGGGGGAGGAGGGAAAGTGGAGTTATTGCTTAGTGGGTCCAGAGTTTCTGTTTGGGGTGATGAAAAGTTTTGTAAATACTTTCTTTGTGATGATTGTTGCACAGTGTGGTGTATATAATTAACGTCACCGAATTGTACTGGTGGCGCACACTTAGGCACTCCGCTGCGAACTGAAAGGTTGGTAGATGGAACCCACGCAGCTGCTCCTCGGTAGAGAGACCTGGTGATCTGTTGCCACAAAGATTACAGCCTAGAAAACCCTGTGGGGCAGTTCTGTCACATGGGGTCACTATGAGTAGAAATCGACTCGATGGCACCCAACAACAATAATGGAATCGTACACTTAAAAATAGTTAAAAAGGCAAAAAAAAGAACAAGCAAGAAGAGAAAAGGCCACATCGTGGAGTGGGTTTAGGGGTTCCCAAGAAAGCTGTCTGAGGATGGCTGGCCCCTCAGCGTGGCTTTTGTGTTTCAGGTTGTTCAAAGCCACAAGCCCCAAGGGAGAGCCGCAGGACGGTCTCTACTGCATCCGAAACTCCTCCACCAAGTCAGGGAAGGTAGGGGCCCTGGGAGGACGCCCTGGCGGTCACCCACTGAGCAGAGGTCCCCAGGGACTGCTGCACGGTTTATGTGTCACTGCCCCATGCGGCCTCTTTTATCATCTCAACCCAACTCTGTCCCTGGGGTCTCTGCCCAGCAGACCCCCCCACCCCAATCTCTTCTCAGGAATGAAACAGCATCTGCAAATTGAGGCCAACTATGGCCGCCTCCCAGCAGGGGCACGAGTGGGAGGGAGGTGCTGGGGTCATAGGACTCTGGTGGGGGGTGTCCTAGCCCTTTAAGGAGGAGGCACTGGGAACGGCAGGAAGTGTGCGTCCAGCTCCGCCCTGCCCTGACCTCACTGAGCCTCAGTTTCCCCATGCGCATCAGAGATGTTTACGGTGTGGACCTGCTACTGTTTTTCAAGTCTCGTCAGAAGCCTTTTGGGGCCAGAGGAGCCCCAGAGGCCAGGGGCTGCCTGTCTGTCCCTGCTGTCCATGTGCTGGGTGACCCCTGTCCCCTCCCCCATGCCCCTGCCCCCTGCCTCTCCCCCGAGGTCCTGCTGCGTCTCAGCTGAGCCATCCTCATTCTCCACCCCCGCAGGTACTGGTGGTGTGGGACGAAACCTCCAACAAAGTGCGGAACTACCGCATCTTTGAGAAGGTAAGTGTGCGCCCGGCCTGAGGGCCCTGGGTGGGAGCGGACCTGGCTCGGGGGCTCAGCAAGGGGTGGTGCTGGGGGCAGGGCAGTCTCCCTGCTAGGAGAGGGCAGTGGGGGGGCTGAGGCAGGCATCTCTAGGACACCACCCCCACTCCTCCTCCACCTCCCTGACCTCCCCCGCCTCTCCCCCCCTTTTCCTATCTTCCCCCCCCCCTCCTCCCCCTCCCCGACCTCCCCCGCCTCTCCCCCCCTTTTCCTATCTTCTCTCCCCCCACCTCTTTCCTCTTCTGGCCTAGCTTTGTCCCCAGCGGACCCTGGAGGGGACAGGGTGATTCTCCGCAGACCTTGGGTTTATTTACAGACTTTTCCAGGGGTCCCCTGGGTAGGGGTTTGGGGTGCACAGGCTTGAGGGTGGAGGCAGACGCGGATGTCACTTGGGGCGGCCAAGGGCAGGCCTGAGTGCGCTGTTGGCACTGCCGTGCTCCCCGAGTTATAGATGGCGCACAGGCGGGGAGGCCAGGGCGCCCCCTGACCCACCGCCCTCCGCCCGCAGGAGTGTAAGTTCTACCTGGAGAGCGAGGCCCTGTTCATGAGCGTGGGCAGCCTGGTGGAGCACTACCACGCGCACGTGCTGCCCAGCCACCAGAGCCTGCTGCTGCGGCGTCCCTACGGCTGCGCCGAGCCCAGGTGATGGCTGCCCTGCGGCGTCCCTACGGCTGCGCCGGGCCCCGGTGATGGCTGCCCTGCGGCGTCCCTACGGCTGCGCCGGGCCCCGGTGATG